AGCGTCCTATTTTGTTTTTTTTTTTTTTTTTTTTTTTATATATATAAAATAAATGTTATTTTATTTTATAAAAATTAAAAATCGTATTTCCGTTGTTGTATTTTATTCACGCCACTAAGCATGTTACTTTCGAATAATGAAATTTGTAGAAAATTAAAGCTTAATATTACATATATCACTTACATTGACGGATAGTATGGCAGTTTTGAATGATTTATAACAACGTCTAAATATGCATAATTAAATCTCCATTGTACATTTATTTAAATTTTAAATTTTATAAAGTGCCCGTTTTGTTAACACGATACCGTACGTGTTAACCATAGTGCCGTGTATATTGCATGTACTGTCACATTACACGCAATATGTCATCTCTGTGAAAAAAAATACTACGATCACAAGCTAAAATATGTAGTCTCACATAAGAAAAAATTGCGTTGCTGTAAATAGATCATGATGGAAGAGACATGTCAACCTCCTAATAAATAGTTACAATTTACTTATACATTTTTATTCGCGTCTTTGTTATTTTTAGAAACACAACGAGAAATTGATATCGTGTTTCGTAAGTAAGAATTATGAATCCATTATAAATTTTAGGAACGAGAAAAAGGGATGTGAAAAGAAATAGCTATGTCTAGTTTATCTACAGGCTGGTAGCAGCCTTGTAGATAAATGAACGTCACGTACAAACCGTAGTTTTTATGACGGTATACTTTTTAATGATCATAACGTCGTCATAAATTAAGTCTGCGGCCGAAATAGTTTTCAGTAATAGATCAGTGTTTAATATTGGATTTTTGTTTCAGAGTTGCCAACATTGTCTAACATGATAATTAATTTCTGTCACTCACAGTGTTTCGTAAAGTTTCGAAAAATAACACCCTGAGAGATTAATAGCTCGGTAAATAAATGAATGATTTAGTGAATTAATAAGGCAATTATCCAACTAAACTTCTAATTGATCATCTTCGACAATAATAAATACTTAAACCATCAGACGTTGCTGCGATTAACGTGTTTCTGTATTTACTTCTAATTTAATCATTGCATGACCGTCGACGGCGTATAGCCCACATCTGCATCTGACAGTGGTACAGGGACGTAGGAAATATATAGCGATACTGTGCAACGACGTACACGAATGGCCGCGCAACGTATAAATTTCGTCGCCGTCTGGTTTTCATATAGAGCGTGTCATTGAAACGTGTTTTTGCTATGAATTCGACAAATATTTGCCCGGCGCGACATGGGAAGGTTGACACATGCCGTTATGAAAAAACCACGAGCGATAAGAGATCAATCGCGTGTACGTTATTTCGCGGTGTGCAAAATTGCATAACCGACGAGAGAAGGGCAGGTCGGTTACAATCAATTTTCATTTAACGTTACACGGGGAAATCAATTTTAATCGCGCCGTGATATCAAGAACAAAATGTCGATTTTCAGGCAATGTACACATCAATATAATGGATGTTCGCGTCTATTAGGAATAACTACTGAGCATATTGTTGCTATTCAGAAGTGATCAATCTTCTATTAACTTTCGATTGATCTTTGTATCCTGCGGGATGCAATCTCAATAAAAACTCGGATATGATAAAAATCAGCTTTATACGAAAATAAATTTATCATGTTAATTCAATCGATTCTTCTATTTTTCTTCCGCATTTATCGGTTCGTAAGATTTTCTTTCTAAATATCTGAAATATTTACGACGCAAAGATGATACTCTCAACTATTTTCTGCAGCTATATACAGAATGTACGACTCGGCGCAGCATTTCGTTTTGCTGATCCTTTCTGCTTGTTCTCCGGTCTTGTAGCCTGCATCTTCAACCCGTATTTCCTACGACGCGGCCTCCACCCCCCCGGCCATCCCGGACCGACGCGCGTTTGCTTCGTTTTCTCTCCGCAGTATTTCTTTGCTATCCTACGCGAGAGTGCGCCCTACCTGACTGCTCACTTTCCGTCTAAGTAATAATTGAATTCGCATTATATTGGCTACCGCGCGAGGAACCGAGGAAAAAGCCGGTGCGCGTGAACGAGTCGCGAGGATGTTTCGCATTTGAAATTGAGAGAAGAAGAATATATGTATAAAATAAGGGTGGAAATACGAAAGAGAGAGAGAGAGAGGAAAATGCACCGCGTACTGTATCTTCGCGGCAATCCGATTAGACGGATCTATGCGCAGGGTGGACTGCAAAAAGCTATCCTTTGATTTTGAAACTCAATTTGCTCATCGAGCGAGAACAAAGAAAACTGCGCGCGCCCGCGCTCGCGTAACGAGGCTTTGCTTTCGTCTTTAATGCGAAATTTTCTTTAAACTGTAGTTTAAAGCATCATCTCGGAAAATGAAATCATAGTACGCTACACATTTACATTAGCGATGATATATATCTTACATAATTATGCAATCTAATAATTTTTAATACACATATCCGCATACATAATATATGTATCTAATTATATAAATATGCATACATAAAAAGATGGAAAATAAATTGCAGTCACTTTATTAACGCAATTATAAAATGCGGATATTCAATATCTGAGATTAATTACATTTAATATACGCAATCTATGAGTTCGTTACGTTTTAAAGTTTTGATCGACGAACATGAAATTGTGACAACGCGAAATAGAAATAACGCACGGATGTAATTAATAATTTTTCTTTCGCGCCAATAAAATCGATAAACTCAACGAAGTGGATTTAGCCCAGCATTTTCCAATATTCATTGCTGCAGAATATTCGCTAACTAACAACACGATAATTAATTATTAACTTTCCGAATCTCATTAAGTGCGTACTGTTATAAGAAAAATTAGTATCTTTAATTGATTTCTAGATAGTTAATTTAGTATTTAACCGTCTTCAGCAACTGGAAAATGCGAGCTAATTTCTGCGAGAAAAAGATAGCATGAACGATTCTCATTTAGACAGAAGCTTTTCGTTAACTTTTGAACGCTATAAATCAGTGCTGCCTAATCTTTTTGTACATGCGAGCTATTCTTTTTTAATAGAGCGACTTCACGATCTTTCCATGTACTGGGGAAAAAATATAACGTTAGAATGTGATTTCAACGTTTCCATGATTTTATGTTTATTAAACATATCGATAGAGACAAAATAAGTGTCAAAATAGAAATAAAATAAATATTAAAATTAGAAACATAAATTTTATAATAGAATCAAACAATGTAAAAATGTGAAAAAGATCTATCAAAAAAACACGTCGCCAACGACTGGCATCGGTTAAGCACCCCTGCTATAGAGGAATCTGAAAGGTTTCTTTTGAATTGTAGAACTTTCATAAAATCAATATTATCTTCCGTTATATTCAACATTTAGTAGATAAAAAAATAGAGATAAACAAAAAAATGATCTTAAATGTTAAAATATACATTTTACTCATTTTTATACTTTAGAATCTTCTATCATAACATTTGATAAGCCTAGAATTTTAGAATTAACATTTTTTTATTGCGATGCATTGAAATCTTATATTTTAAGTTAAAAAAATGGACTAATCAGCTGATATTGAAAAGTTGATTATTACAAAGAAATGTTTTAAATTTTTAAATAAATATAATAACTTTTTTAATAATAATTTTTTTATTGTTAATAATTTGCTGATGATTACATAGATTTAATTATTAACGTAAAGATTATAGAATTAAATATGATAAAACGTAAATTTTAAATTTTATTTCCATTAGTTATATTTTCTTTTTATCATATATTACATTTGATATGTTGAAAGCTAAATGACGCGTGCATAGCGCGCGCAATGTTATATGTATTGAAATAAATAAGATATTCGATACGAGATTATCAAAATTTCAAACCAGAGATACATATATTATTATAACAATATGTGACAAAACAATATATGACATACATATGATATACATTTATCATCATAATTAAACTCCTTTGCAGTTATTTTAGAATTGTTCTGTATCGTTAAATACATATATACGTGGAGTTTTAGTTATATCCCGCATCCAATCCATCGGGGTATCAAGTATAACGGCTGCCATATGCCACTTTTATCGCTCCTTTTTTTAAACAAGCACGGATAACGATTATTGCACTTTTTCTCGGCTACCCGGTGCGCATTGTTAAACCAGAATTTTCGTGGCAAAAAAAGCGGCTTACGCGACAGCGATCGATTTGACGTCGTTTACTCTCCTTTAACAGAAAGTTTTTTCGTTTCTCGTTGTTTGCCGTATCGTACATGGGACCGGAGATTGTTTTCGCTGTTCTGCGGACTCCTATCGAGATAGGAAAAACATGTTCTTTGTTCTCCTAGCTTTTACCAACGTGTACAAACGAAATTTTGTCAGCCGACTATACGTTGCGCCGAATGATATATATGTAATATTAACACGCATTGAATATATATTTATCTTTAACGCGAATATTTACATAAAAATCACACAATACGTAAATTTATTTTTACGATAATTCGCGATGCGCATTTTACACACGTAATAACTGAAACTGCATCGTTAAAATAATTTTAATGCTGCTTCGAAATATGAATTGTGTATGCATTTGTATTAATCGCAAATGGTAAATACTGATCGTTACGATACGGTCAGTTTAATAATTATCTTGTTTAAAATATGACAGTAGATGTTTTTATTGTTCCAGCACCATCCTAGGTCAAAGTGGCATTCGGTGGAATCGTACACGTTAGACTACCGTGAACTAGAGCGAACGTAAGTTAAATTTTTAATAAATTAAAATATTTAATTCACAAAATATACACAGAATATTTACTTTTCTAGTGAACATTTATAATTTAATTATTATATTAATCGTACATCATTTTTGTATAATGATAAATTGATATTATAGAAAGAACAGAAATATGATACATTTCTATAGATTCTATTTTTCATTATTATCGCTCTGTGAATCTATTTAATTTTATTATTTATTCATTATATTAAATAATCGATCATTCATTAAATACGATTCTAATATATGCAATAGCATCTTGTATCGATCTTCAAATTCATTAAAATATTGTATAACCAGGAGAAAAATATAATAAAAATGTAGCTGAAGAGATATAAACATATTGCGTACAAAATTCCAAATAAGAATTTTAATATTATATGCAAAATTGCGCATAATTATTTATGAAACTATAATTATTCATTAAATGATAATTGTAATAAATTTCGTGCTACTATATTTGTTATATTACATACAAAACATTGTACGATAAGTCAAGAAAAGATTCATCTTTCAGTTGATATCTTGTCTAAATCGATAACGCTCTGATCTTCATTTCGAACACGCTATACGTTAGCAAAGAATATACCCGCTATCAGAAATCGTATCAGCATCAAATCGAATGACAAAGCATGTCATGCCCGAGAAACGACCATTATATGACAACGAAACCAATGAAAGTAATGTCGGTATTTGTCAGTGTTGCCCTTCGGCAATAATAGAAACAAAGCGAGGGAAGAAAGGAAAACATGAGAACATCGACCACATATTCTCGTTTTATTAAAAACGTTGTACTGTCATGTACCGTCAAAGGATTTCTCCTATTTATCTAGCCTTTGTAGAGTAACGAAAGAAAGTAATCAGGATGTAATCCTGGCTGTCTGCGCTTAGGTAGATAGATACGGAAAACTGAAAAAGCTAAATCTTTCACTAGCTGGATCATTAGATGCAACAAAATACCGATCTCGACGTTGGAAGATTAAAGATCTATTGGAGAACAAAAAACTTGTAGCTTTTGAAAGTGTAACCTTGCCTTGAAATAAGTAATTGGGATCAATTTTTCGCGTACTCTCTCTCTCTCTCTCTCTCTCTCTGCGAATTAAATGTATGATCATTATTACGAACAAAATACCGAGCTACTGTACAAAAGAATATGATTGTCTCGACGTTGTAAATATGAACACTCAGGCATTATCGTAAATAACGATACGTTTATCAAGCACAAAGCCGCGATATATTTTGCTAAATGACCTCATTTTCGGTTTTCAGCTGTCTCTACGCTTTATACGCCTTTGAAATTTTCATCATCATAATACTCATTAAGCAAGCTACACTTAGCGATAGCTCGTGTATAATGAGTTTAGCACTGCAAAATTTATTTTAAGCTTTGTGGCTATAGAGAGTATAAGCGTTGTATAGTTCTCTAGTGTGTACTTATGCATCGCGTAAGTATACTCTTCATCACACCGCATGCTGATAGTAGGATAGAAGCCTAAGCGCGACGACAGAACGCGATGATATTATAATCAAATTGTAAATTGCATGATCTAATCAGCCAAGAAAGCTGTAATGTGCCGGACGTGAATTTCGCGGTGACTAGTTTTATACGTTGCCGTACAGAAGTGCGAAAACGACTTTCAAGGTACTCTGATAGTTTCGTGTGACCCGAAGTTAATAACCCCCCCTCCCCCCCCTCCTCGCCCACGCGACGTGGCACGGGAACTTCGCGGACAATGTCCCGGCCGCAAATTTATAAGATTCGGTCTTATTTGAAAAGTTTATGCAATTTCGCGGGCTCCAGCACATGGGCTTGTAAATATTCGACCGAAACTTGGAACTTTCCGAATAATGCAGTTCGAAGTGTATCGAAGAGAGAGAGAGAGAGAGAGAGAGAGAGCGCAGATACGTGGAGATTAAATACATATTGGAAGAAACGTAATGTAATATATGAATTATTGATGATGAGAAATTGATACGATTGGTGTTTTCTGTCGAATCTTGTTGAAACGGCTAAAAATTGAACGCGAACGTTACATATCAGCTAAAATATTTTTAATTATTAATATAAATACAATATAGATATTAAATATTTTCACACTGTAATGATTATCGATATTCGATTGCATCGCATAATTGTTACAACACATATCGTTCCAAACAAGCACTTTTTATTTTGAAAGAAATACTTCGAATTCTTTATTTCATTTTAAGTTTTTTTAAATAACGATCTTTAGTTTTAAATATTTTTTTACTATAATTGTACGAAAACTATATGTTGATAAATTTTTAGCATACCCACACGCGCGCGCGTGCATACATGTACTCCGTCGAATACGATATTACTTCAGCAGCATTTTTTATAATCAGAGTTTGTATGTTAGATGTAAAAAGAATTTATTACGAGATGGTATTATACGAATGTTGCACTTGAATGTAATTCTCAACTTACAATCTTAAGTACTGTCGCGACGACAGAATATTCCTCACATTTCTTTATCGTATTGATTTTGTATTCCATCTCGTTTTTCTCTGTCTTTGATCCTCAAATGTTTTTATTTTCGAAAATTTTACTTTTGAGTAAAAATTCTTTCTATTCCTTGCAGTCGGTATGATCAAAGTTAAGCTTATACTTTGAAAGAAAAGAATTTAGCAGAACGTTGAGAAAAATATATGACAAAGAGAAGTGAAGTCGGTTCCAGAGGAAGAATTTTGTTTAACAATCTTCTTAACGACCGCACGAGAGAAAAGTACTTGGAAGAGAAAAGATCAACGGAGATTACTTTGAAAAAATGGGAGAGGGAGAAAGAGGTAGGCAACGCGTTACTTTCAGTACAGTAATTTTTAATTCATCCAATCTCTACGCGAATACATCTTGCATACTTTGCGAAAAAAAAAGGGCAGATCCAGGTGTGTTAAAACAAAGCTTTCTC